ACTTCAGTATAGCGGATTATTGAGATATCATAAAAAGATTTGAATCACACTATTTGTCCATCGATATTTAGTGTAAACAACATCCATCATAAAAATAATTTCAATATTTTTCTTCAATTCAACATTATTGAGTATAAATAAATAATATTAAATAAAAATATTCCATGATATTAGGTTAATTTAGTGAGCTCAAATCTACAAAAATTTACAAAATCCTAGACATCTGGGTCTCTGGATCCTCAGTATACTTCTTACATATAAATGGTTAAATTCTATCCTGTCAAAAAGAAGAGAAATTGTTTATATGTTTCTTACAAGACTTCATTTTTCTACAGGTTAATTTTGAAAAAATTCCACCTTAAGAGAAAAGGCAGTGAATTTGGGAAGGAATGTCTAAGAAAATAATGTGTATCAATGTATTTATTTGTAGAAAGTTTACTAAAAAACACGAAATTCTTACCACTTAAAATAAAAATTCATTATAACTCCTTTAAAACCTTAATTTTTTAATTTTAATCCATTATTGCCAAAGACACAGACGTCTTTCTCCTAGACTGGTTATGAATTTAAAAACATTGAAATTAATAAAAAACTATTACGATTATTGTTATTATTACTATCAGTAACATGTTTAAAAAGATAAAAATAAACACTGGGATTACCAACATTACGTTATCGAATCTCAGAATGATTACATGCTCCTCGGGGAGATATGCAGATCTTAGGGCAATTATTGCTTAGTCTGATGAAGTGATAAACAATATTCCAGTTAAGGCATAGAGAGGGGTTATGACGAAACCTCGCAGTTAATAGAGAGTAAAAGTGCTCAAGTGCACTGACTCAACTAGCCTCAACATAATAATAAAGATTAATAAGGATTAACTAAAGATATCTAATTATTTGAAATCACGCATTGAAGCATTTATTTCACTTAAAGATTTGCTCGTTTTCTTTCTAATACCCTTTATTTATGGTATGTAGTTTTTGTTCCATACAAGTTCCATAAAAGGGTTGCGTACCCGATTTGGTCAACTGATTTAGTAAGTGACCCAACAAAGATTACTTGATAATAAGTAATTGACACCTTACTTCTTCTCTTCTTTTTTGGTAGTAAATTTAGCATGAAAAAATAATAAAAATAAAAATATCTTCAAATTTATTTTTCATTTTTTAAATATTTATTTGTTTAATTGAATTTTTTAATAAAATGATGTGGTGATATATATTCTTTTAGTCGTGATTCGTATCAATTTAACTGCAGTAAATTAATCAAAAAATCCTCAATAAATTTATATGGAAATATTTTGCAAGTGTTTGGCGTTTTTTTCTATTTGTTGATTTTAAATGTAATTTTAATATTTATAATTTATTTATTTAATTTATAATGAATTAATATTCCAACGATATACATTGTTTATGACATCAATTACTCAGTTTCTAACATTAATTAAGCTATTTATTTAATATTATTTAAACTTATCAATCACTTATTTAATAAAATATTTATTTAATTTAAAAATGATAAATATTAAATTAAAATAAATTTTTGATTATTAAATTTCAAAATATTAAAGCATTTTTGTTTCATTGGTGAGTTCTGCAATATATATTTTTTAAAATATTTTTGCTTTAAAGCAATAAATTTACTTTTATTTAAATTATTGCATAAATTTATATTTATTTTAATTACTACATTTTAAAATTGTTGTTTAATATTTTATTTTTTTAATGTAATCAACTATTTTTTGTTTATATTAATTTTTTATTATTCACATTTAGGTATTAATTTAAATATATAAATACATTGAGATATATAGCGATTCAACAGTTTCGTCTAAACATTCATAATAAATAATTTTTTATAATAGTTCATTTATTTAGTTTTCATATGAATTTCATTTGTTTATAACATTATGTATATTTATATATATATTATATATATTTTATATTTATATGCGCGTATACATGTCAGCCAAGTGCAAAGTGAAAACTTGAAAATTTTATACGCAAAAAAATAATATACCATAATTAATTTTTTTTTTTGGTTTTTCAAAAATAAAATAAAATAAGATATTTAAGAGCAAAATAAAAAGAATTAATTTTTAATTAATTTTGATTAATATCATACTTTGCTACTTTTAGTTGACATGCACAGCCTTCAAAATTTAACATATTGTATCTGCTTAAAAGACCTTGTGTATTAGAGCCAAAATCGAGTGATACATTCGTAATACTACGAGAAGGAACAGTTGCAGAAATTCTAGAAGACAGATTGGAACTAAAACGTAATGGAAAGGAAATTGTTTTGTTTATTAACTTTTTAATTATTTCAATTTTTTATTATTAATTCTATCATTGGAAATTAAGAAACGTGTTAATGAACGAGAAGTTAACTTCTCAAGAGGAAGATAGAGTTGAAGCATTTTGTATAGATTTCTTGAAACCTATACATAGAAAAAGTATTATATTTTAATTTCAATATATTATACTCGTACTTTTAAGATACTTAATAATTAAATATTTCTAATACCTTTTTTTTACGTACCACATACAATTTTTGAAACCTTTATTAAGACATTGCTTTCTCTTTTGTATTTTCCAGATGATTTAGTATCGAGAAGATTAAAGTTACCTTGATGAGAATACATATATGTTGTCGCTTTCAGATCACAGAACAAAAACGCTTTGATAATGTTATTGCCACAGACTGCAAACTGCTTTTATTGAAAGAGGTAAAAAAAAATATAGGGGACAACAAGAAGACCAGGAAAGAAATAATCCATGTTAATATGGATTGGAAAAATATATATTGGTGATACATTCAACACTTTTAAGGATTCATAGAAACACGTATATCGAATATGCATAAAACATTTTCACAAAAGGACAATACAATAATTTCAACCTTTTATTAATTAATGCTATGTTGTAGCAATGCATAAATAATTTGTTTTATTTTTTTTATATAGATGTTATAAAAAATATACCCAACCAAATTAAGGATCAACGCGCTACGCAGATTCACAAAAGAATCAAACATTTTCCTAAAAGGAATACGCGATATAAAATCGAAATAATAACATCTAGCGCTAAGAACTGACAAGACCCCAACATCTAATACACCATGAATGAATGCACTATGTATATGTTTGGAATCTGTAGAACTAAGCCATTGTGGCTCTTTTAAAATGTACCTATAATTGGTTTCGCTAACGACCCATTTCAGTAGCACTCAGTCCTGACCCCTATATATGTTCATTTATTCTACATTGAGCAGTAGCTTTCGTAGGTTTGGATGGACCTTTAAGTGTTTTTTAAACAATACAAATCTAAAAATCTCATATGGGTAAGATGCCTACGCTTATAGCTTGAGAAAAATGGTTGTTTAGAAAAAAATACTTAAAAGTATTATATCAAATTAGTTTAAGATTAAATAATTATTTTTCATTTAAGTATATTCTTACTTATGAGTAAACTGATTCTCTGAACATAAAAAAGCAGAGCACATGTTTTGGAATTGCTTAGGAAATTATGGATAAACATCTTTAAAGATTAATTTTTTAAAATGATTTAATAATTGAAATTCTCCTTTTATTGATGTAAATTAGAAAAGACAATACATGTGTGAATGAGGATGCCAGATTTCTCAATAGTTCGAACGGAATGGAAGCAGGTTGTGTATGAGTTTAAGGATCACACTCGATGGTATTGCAAAAAAAAAAATTTTTGTTGAATATATTTACATCGATATCTATTTTTATCTTTCTTAGTAGTGCTATTTAATAGATAGTCAGAGGTATACCTAGAGCTTGTAATGGACAATAGCAAAATATACGCACAAAGTTTCTTCCAATTGTTTGCAAACTTGCTATACCTCAACCCATGTACACATGCTTGCAACAAAACAAAAAAAACCAGCTGTTTTGACATCTGTGGATGTGGTATGCAGCAAAAACAGCTGTTTTATTTTGATTTTAAGGTGCCTTCGTTCCTTCGCAAGCGTTCGCTTTGGTGTTCTCGCACTCTTGCAATATTCGTATAGCATTCTTGCATATGTTGCAACTTGCAATGACTTTGCAAAACAGAGTGAATATACGCCTACTTTCTTAATTATATTAAACGAAACCAATAGAAAAAAATATTCCAAAAGTGCCATAACAAACCTAAAGAATAGAAAATATTAAAATTCATGTCTTAGAAAAAATAAATAACTATTCGGGAATAATCTATATAGAATTTTTTTGATTAAAATGGAGTGAAAGCAAAGATAGTTGGAATTAGCAAGAGAATATAAAGGAAGTTTCGTATCACACTAAAATCAGCTGTAAAGTTCAAATGTTACATATACCAGTTTATATACATACATATGTATGTATATATTTATATATATAGTAATTTACATCAATAGCAACAATAATTTTATTTTAATAATTTTTCTTTAAAAAATTTAATTTAAATGTTTAGTTTTAAAAGTGTCAAAAATTTATTATTTAGTGTTTATTTCATTTAATATATAATATTTAATAATTATTTAGTACTTTGTTTTAAAATTTGTAATTTTTAAAGTAATTTTAAAGTAATTTCGTTTTCGGTTCACACCAATTATTTTGAATTGCATTTCATTTACTTATATGGGTTCTCCTCCGTAATAAATGTGTATATATATTAAATTTACGAATAAAAACCATATTTAGAGATTCTCTTCTTGTAACAAGTATAGCATTTCCTTTATTTTAAATACTTTCTCATAATTTAATAATATTCTCAAGTTTTAATAGGCATTTTTGTATTTAAATTTTGTAAATAAAAATATATATTGTGTCTTTTAAAGTTTTTTGCTGTCGTGTACACTTAAGTTTACAGTTTAGTCCCTAAAGAATTGTTTTCGTATTTATTTATTTTTTATTTATATATGTTATATATATGTATATATATATTTTTGTTTTTTTATTTTTTATGTTTTGTTTCATTTAAAACATAACTGTTTATAAATAATTTGTTGTTAATTATAAATAAGTAATCCTAAAATATAAATAATTTACGTTGGGGCGAGTTCAATAACGAGTATAATTACTTTTAATTAAAAAGGAGGCGGGGTCAACTAGGATCGTAGTTGTTTTATTTATAATTTCGTAGTATTAGATTCAAATCCGTTTAGACACCCTGTGCGAGACTTTCCTTGGATATTGTTATCATAGATTGCTCAACTGGCTGGTGGGAAAGAATGAAAGGAGAGGCCAACATCTGCAATGGACTATTTTTTAAAATTTATGTTAGTGTAAACTTTTATTTATTAAGTATATATTTTAACATAATTTACACTATATCTTTAATTTTAAAATATCATGTGAATGATAAAATAAAAATGATTTAAATTATAAAGACAGAAAGTTTATGAGAGATACTGAAGAAAAATATGATAAAAAAACTCAACGTGCTAATTAAAAAACTTTAAAATAATTAATAAAAAAAATAAAAAGAAGACAATGTATATAAAAAGACTAAATTAATTAAGTCAGATATTAGAAATTGTAACATAGGGCATATAAATTGCCCTACTTAATATCAATTACTTCATATCAATTATGAAGTAAACCCCTGCGTTATACTCACGCAAGCAGTCAATTGTCAACTTAACTCAACATATTTTTATTTTAAATTAACAAATGCTAGCGTATCAAGAGAGTACCAAGAGTACCAAGTAAAAAAGTAATAAAATGCAACTTTAGTGCATTTATTGGGTTTTTGAATGTTTCTTAAAACTGCACAACAATTGCATAAATTATATATACTAAAATATTTTATTAAATAAATATTTATTTTATTAAATATTATTCATTTTTATTTATTAATTCAAATAAAAATTATTATTTTATTTATTATTACTAATAAACATTACTGGTCTTAGGTTGTTAATTTTATTATTATAATAAAATATTTATTATATGAATATATTATATTTAATATTTAACTTACTATTTTCCATTTAATCTAACATAATTTTTAATAGTATTATCGGGGTCCGCTATGGGATAGCTAGATTAGAGAATTAGAGAAGTCAAGATTAGAGAAGTTGTATTTGGCTACTAAAATGTCATTTTAGATTTTATATTCATATATAATCAAATGATTTAATTGGTGTTTAATCAGTATTCGGACATTATGATGTTCGAGCACCTCGAGTTTATACGAATGCAAGTATTTAGATTGAATACTTTTAGTCTCAAAAACATTTGAACTACTCGTTAGATATGCGAATTAATCGATTAGCTTATATGCTTAATATTTCTATTTATTTTCGTTTTATTTTTTCATCCTCCTCACTTGAACATTTTCAAAATATTCGAATAATATTTAAGATCGAAGTCATATCATATTACAGTACAAGAGATTTGAAGGCAAATACTGCTTTATAAGTACTGATAATAATATAATAATTATTGTAATAATAATTATATTAAAATAATATTGTTATAAATATTGCTTAATTTAGTTTCCATATAATCCAGAACTTTAGTCGCATTCCCACTAAAATATTTCTTATAAATAACTTATTTCATTAGTGAAGATGCCATAATTAAAACATAAATAAAAAAAAATTATTGGTGAACCATTATCATTCCGTATAATGCTAGAACTTACAAACAAATTAACATATTTTGAATATATTAATTTATTACTTTGAATTAAGCTCTCAAAAAAAAAACCATAAATAACTACGATTAATTTAAATTAAAGTAGATGAGAACTATAATGTTTTTTAATAAGGTTCAGATATAATTAAAAAAAAAAGTATAATTATATGTGAAAGAAATTAATAAAGAAATTTATATAAAAAAGTCATAAATATTTAGGTTCATTTAAATTCAAGTAGATGAGTGCTGTAAGGTGTATTGAATTAGATGGGAAATGTCTTTTAATATGATTCAAGTATAATTAAAAAAAATATATAAATAAATAAAAAGTAAAATTAAGATTTAGTAAAGAATTTAGACTCACTCAGCGAATGTAGCTGCTGCAGTAACTGGATTTCGAACGGTGTGCAAAGCTTGTGAATTTTTGGCGCGTGCTAATAGTGTCATCACAGTGCGTTTTGTGGGATTCATACCAGATCTTGGTACACCTAAGAGTGGTCTCTTTCGTCCTAAACCACCAGCTGAAAGATATTATGACATTAATTTAAATAGATTAAAATATTTATCAATAGATTAATATTAATAAGCAACAAACCAATATTAATTGCTTTAACACCGCGTAACGCTGGATGTAGAAGTGTGCCAGGAGGATCTAAAAGTGCTAAAGTCGATGCAGTTGTATCAGCTTCTGTTGGTATTGCAATGCCAGCATTTGGTTGCGTTGGTGTTAATCCGGTTACAGCAGTGACACCGGTAGCGGGTTTTAGAATGCTGCCAATGCCAGCGGCTGTAAGTTGGTGTTGAAGAGCAACCGCCATAGCAGTGGGATGTACTAAAAATGTAAATATTTATTTAATTAATTTTGTTAATTTTTTTTTTTTTTTGGAAATATATATAATTGTTGCGTTAAACTTACTTGAAGTTGCATTTGCTTGTACAGTCATATTATCCGCATTTGGAGTTGTTAATACGGAATTTGTATTGGTTGTAACGCAATGTGCCTGTTGTTGTAGGAGATGGTGTAAATGTTGGTGCTTCTGATGATCGTTGTTGCTATTTATATGATGGCTTTCAAGTTTTTCAGCTGGATTGAATTCCATAATGCTTGTGTCAGTTTCAGATTTATCATCATTAGAAGTATCCATATCGGTGACAGCTCCTCGATTAGGACTCGGCTGATCACTGGAATGACTTAATGTGGGTGTTGATGTGAGGGCTTGCATTTCCCACATTTGCTCCTGTCGTATATCATCGTGATAATCCTATAGATGAAACAATTATATAAATATTGTATAGAATTTATTCTGCTGAAACGTATAAATATTAAATATATTAAAATGAAATATATACGAATATATAGCATATTTCTTATTGTAACTTAAATTCAGGAAATGATTTCCTGTTCTACGAAATAAATAGAATCATATAAAAGGGATGACAGAATAAACGTGTCACTTTTCATTTCACATAATCTATATGCAGCAGTAATGTTGATCTATTCTGTGAAAGATAGCTAACAGCAGTTAACACAGTTTAAATTAAAACTTTTAATTAATCTGCTGTAGTTACAGATATATGTATTTGAACTGAGAAAATTTGTCAGCATTGTTATTGATCCAAATGAACCTTTTGATGTTTTCCAGCACTGATTCAATATTAGTCAGTTTTTCTACAAATAGAGTAGAGTTCTATAGAGGAAGTTAAGATCTCTTCATGGTAAAATGTTAGCTAATTTTCAGTAACTCATAAACACTATTTAAGATCACTTTAAGTAAATTCTGACCTTTACAAATGAGACTACTATCATTAAAAGACACGCACTGACATTAGAATAGATTTATAGTGTTTAACTAGTTATTATACTAACAAAATAATATTAGTTGAAATTTGAATCTATTTGGTCCCACAATTACATAGTTAATTATCTCGCTGTACATAATTGGAGCGCTAAAGACAACCCCAACGGCTGATCAAAAAATATTACTTAATGAATTAAACTTGTTGGTGAGACTCGTGCAGTGAATTTCGTGGAAGATGGCGATAGATGAATTTAATCTTTAACATTTGAACATAGTTCAATAGAAGTATAGCCATAAAATATGTATATGGCTCTATACCAGACTAAAATCGAATGGGATATTTCATACTAGCGTATGAAAACTGAACATCAGATTCACAATATCGATCTAAAGTCTAAAAACTGACGAAGAAGAGGAGGGGCCTATGAAACGTGGCTATAAAACTCATAATATCCACCAAAACATCTTAAAACTGATAAATACAGCAGGAGCTGAAATATATTATGCTGATCTAAGTATCAAACACCCAATCAAGTTGTCTATTTTTCATCAATCAAGATGACTATTGTATTTTCGAAGAGAAAGTTTTCGCTGACAATGCCCAAGATAGGCATTGTATAGCCATAGCGATAAAAGTAATTACTCCGTATCATATTTTGTCTAGGAAAGAAACGACAATATATTTATCAGCTAAAACCATCAGAATTTTGTTCACAGTTTACAGTCAGCTAGCCCACACGCATAAAAGATAAGAATTCTCAATAGCGGTTTAAGTACGAAGTATAGAGAGGTGTGTATTAATCAAACTTTCTTATCTTTATATCTTGCGTTGCCAAGAACACCATTAAATACTTGGGAGCTTTACAATTTGAGAAGCTACAAGACGGCCTCGGAAAACGTTGTTGGATTAGAGTCTGTTACCGAGATATGAATACAAGATAGGAATTCTCAATGGCGGTGTATGCATGAAATACAAGAAGATAAGCAATAAGTAGACTTGTCAACTGTATTATGCTTATGTTCTGCATTATCACAAACACGTTTGAAAAGCTTTGAAGTTACCCATATTGTAGCTGCTAGACGTCTTCAGAATAGCACAGCTTTCTTTATATCCACAAAAAGTGTTAATAACCTACTTGAAATCAACTACAAATCTACGTAGTGGTTTTACTCCATCTGGTGTCGCAAGAGATCTATTATATACATAAACGTTTACAATTATTTTGAAACTAATATGCTATAATTATCAAAATCTTTATTTTAGTAGAACATTGACCAGATATCTAATATCTCCTACCTATAATTAATTGAATTTTATAAAAATAAATAACATATATGTAATCAAATTTTTCTTACCGGTACCAAAAATCGTCTCACTTCCGCCAATGCATAAGCTATACGTGCATGTGCTTCAGCCGGTGCAGCGAATGTAGAAATTTCAACATGTAAATCTTCAAATAGATGAGCATACCGACTATCACCACTAGCACGTAATTCTTCCTCCTTTTTACGATCTCTCATCGAACCACGTCCGAGCACTGCCATTTTACACATAGTGTCTTCTTGCAATCGTTTCATAGAGTTGCCCTTCGGTCCCAATAATTTTCCAACAAAATTGAACTGAAAGCAGGTATTTAGAATAGGGTGATGCATTACGAAGGTACAAATTGTTATTATATTTTCCTTACCTTTGGATGATCTCGCACAGGAACTGCTACTTTCACAGATACTTTTACTGGTTTATCTCTTGTTATGTCCAACATTTTTAATTTTTCTATTTAAATATAGAGCGAATAAAAAAAATTAATTAATCATTTATTAAAACTAAATTAATTAGTAAAATTTAAATAACTAATTATTTCTTGGAAATAATTTGAAAAATGAAAATAACTAATTAATTTTTGAAAATAATTAGTAAAATTAGAAGGAACAAAAAAGTAATTAGAGCGGAACACCATAAAATGTTTCTAATAAATTTAACCCATTAATTCGGTAATAATAGGAAACTGTGTAAGGCGTAGGTATTGCACAATTTTGGCTTCTTACAAATTAAAGAAAGAGTTTCGAGTTGAGTGAATGAAGTCATAAAATGATTTCGAAAAGGCGGAAACCTAAAACAATATATTTTTTAATGAGCAGAAGAAACGGGATAGCTTTGATTTCATTGTGTTGATCTTATCTGCATGTTTTTATTTCTTCATTTAACGAGGTATTCTCTCCTACTCTGTACTTTTTTTTATTCGAATACACTTTAGTATCCTCGTAAAATCTGAATTGTCGGTTACTGTTGTTGTTATGTCTGCAACCTTATTAAAAGGTTGCTCCGTGATGTTGTTTTCGGTTGCTTCAGTCGAAATAAATGATAATAAAAATGGCGTCTCCACAAATTCAAAATGGATTTTATGTTTTGTTTGGATACCAGAGTTGCTCATTCGTGTGTGTAAAAGCAGTAAAAAAAGGTAAAAAAATAAAAGAAGAAAAATTGATGAAAAACAAAAACAAATGAACCAAATTTATTATTCAATGTAGGAGACGTGTGTCTACATAATACACACACCCACAAATGTATGAGGTTATAATCGTAAGCCCGTAAAGGTAGAAAGTCCTGGGCAATAAGAAAAGTCATACATATGCGTTGGCAAATATTTTTGCCATTATTTTAATACGAAATATATGTTTGCAGTTTTACAGTATTTACTTTGTAATTTGTCTTTTACTGCGAAATGCATACGGGACAAAATTTTATATATAATATAAATTAATAGACAGCGGAAGGTAAAAGGGCAAAAGGGAAGAGATCAGGTAATTACATAAAATGAAGCATAAATGAGCATTTTTATCTTTACTGATTTTTGGCAATAAAAAGGAATAGATTTTATGTTCACCAACTTCCTTCTAGTAAGAATGTAAAACAAATCAGTATTCATTTTAGGATTTAACAACTCTGAGCTACTAACATGTTAAGAATATATAAAATTTTATAATTATGAAATATGATATACGCAATAGGATATAAAAATCGACAATTCCGCTATGCAATGAATATGACAAATTGATGGATCTCACATCAAACCACATCGTACAATACAAAACTATGAACCGCCATAGTTTCTCCACTCAGCATCTTCTGTAACTGACCTGTAAATCTGTTCGAAAACATAAACACCAAAATTTATTGAAAGATGATTGCAGAAGTTGTTGATTGCTATATGAAAAACAATTGGACTCAATTGCGCACAAACTTAAAAAACCGTCATTGGGAAAAACATGTCATGTTTGGGACTGTACTATGTATTTGCATAAGTTTTTACCAGTTTAACTAATTTCACACATATGTCGTTTTATTGGTTTGATATTAAATTACAAAAATGAACAAGTTGAGTCCACCAGAAACTAGTGTCTTTGTTTCATCGTTCAGTGATCATGTCGATTACGCATTGGCTTTTTTAATTTAATGAAGATAAAAAGGCAATTGAAAGTCATCGTTTGCAGGTAGAAACATATGATGATGGTGCTCCACCGCTGCAAACATGTCAGACATGATTTCGATAACTTAAAAGTGGTGATTTCTTTGTAAAAGACAGTCAGCGCTCTGGTAGACCACTAAGATAGACCACTGGATAATCAACCCACTCAAACTAAATAGAAATTGGCAGAAGCATTAAATGTGTCACAAGAAATAATCAGCAGACGTTTATGATTTTCAGTAATGGGGAAAATTAATAAACTGGATAAATGGGTTCCCCACGCTTTAAATGAGCGTCAAACGCAAAGTCACTTGTGAGATACTCCTTTAATGCCACAAAAGAAAATCATTTTTGTATAAATTGTGATGGATGACAAAAAATTGATTGATTTCGAAAACTCGATGTGAAAGAAACTGTAGCTTTCATCTGGCAAAACTGGTCCTTCAACATCAAGACCGAATCGGCTCTAGTGGAACTAGAAGGATATTGTGTATTATAAATACTTGAAACTCGACGAAACCATTATGTACAATATTATCGCCTACAGATAAATAATTAAAATCATGCATTGATTGAAAGATAACCGGAATGAGCCAAAAGACATGGAGAAATGATTTTGTTATACTAAAATTTACGGTCTCACCCAGCAAAACAAGTGCAGAATACATTGAAATCACTTTAATAAGACACATCCCGTATTTGCCAGATCTCACGCTGTATAACTGTCACCTCTTGGCATCACATGCTTACTTTTTCAAAAAATCAGAAAATAAATAATAATAAGGAATAATAAAAAAGGGAGATTCAAAGATTACCCGTCAGTCCGAAAACGGGTAACGGGTTGTTATGGTCAAATAAGTAAGTAAGTAAGGCGAAGTGTTTTGAATGTCGCCGGTTTTAGATAAAATTTTATTTTTACTTATAACAAAGCTCATTTTCAAAATATTATACAAAGTATGGTATTTGTTGAATTGCAATAATAAATAAAGCATCATAAATAATTTTATGAAAACCATGTGAAACTTTATCTATTATCGAAGGATTACTTTATTTTTATGTTGCAGTGTCTTGTTAAATTAATAAGTGTTATGTTTTCTTATTGGCACTGTTCTGGTATTCCTTTTTAAAGTCTTTATGAATACCATAAATGTATTTCAGTTGATTTTTGTTTTATAAATTTTTTATGCTATTTAATGCTGTGCTTTATACATTTGCAATCAAATCAAATTAATTCTTAATTAATTTTTTTTTCTATCTTTCTAGACCAGCTGCATCTGTACCGGATCTCTCAGCCAACCCGTATACTTGAATCTTTTGAACTATGTATGTATGTGTATGTATACTTTTTATTGTATAAAATTCTAGAACACATTTTTCATAGGATTTCTTATTGTTTTTATTTTTATTGTAGTTTAAGCTGTTTGTTATTTTTTTGTTTTTTGATATTTGGTCCATGACGGCACTATGTGCATGTGTTCATATGTTGATATGTTGATATGTTGTGTTTTTGTGTGTGAGTGTTACTGTTTGTATTCTAAGTAATTAAACAAATGTGCGCGTATGAGAGCGTATTTACTCACAAAGGAAATTTTTTTGTTTTGCACATCTGTAGCATGAGAACAAAAAACAAAAAAAAAAATAAATACAAACAAGAAATAAACAAATAAACGTTTATTCACACACAACACTCCCGAAGGCGCAGCGCCAACTACTTGACTGTACTTTTCAAAGCACGCATAACTCACACTTTCACATTTACAATTTGTTTACCATTCTTTTCTATATTTTTTTATTTGTTTGCGATCTGCTTTCGCTGCTGTTACTGTACAGGGTTAGTGTTGTTTTAGTTGTAGTTGTGCTGGCAGACGTTGTTCAAGTTGACATGTGTCAACATATGTTTTACTGCTTGTTTAACATATCGTTTAAGCTGTTAGGCTGCACTGTTTACTGCTACCTCTGCTACTGTCGTTACGGATGCCGATGTCGATGCTTATGCTTATGCTAGAGCTAAAGCTGATGCCAATGCTACAGTTGCTGTCGTCTCTGTTAATGTTGCTCTCGCTGCTTTTATTTGTAACACTGTTTTGTGCTGGTGGCCTAAATGTTTATCCTTTGAGTTGGCGGGCGGGCATAGCATCATAGCAACGTGCTTACGCTAACACTGTAAATCATGGCACTTAAGGTGCACTTAAGTTTTTATCGTAGTTTTGACAAAAAGAAAAAAAAACACACACACACAAAACAACAACAACAACAGCGGTAATAATAAAATAATTTATGTAAAAGCGAAACTGCACAAGCAAAACAATTCATTTCTGGCATTTTGGTACTCCTGAAAAAAGTGACTAAGTAAGTTTTTACGAATGAAATGCCATTTATTTTGACAGATTACATTGTAAAATTAATTTCTTGTTTTCCTAGAGTTATTTTTAGTATGTCTCTATTCCAATTTTAATTAGTGGTTTTTCTTCTTCCAGGTAGAAAACTTAAATTAATTAAAATATGGTTTAGAAATCGCAATGAAAAACTATTGTATTTCAAATAATATATAAGGAAGTTTTCACACAGTAATTTTCAGTCTCTAGTTAAAATTTTTTACACCTTTTGTTTTAATTTTACTAGACCATCATATTAACCTTTCACTTCTAGACGACTTCTAAATGATGAAGTAGTATTCAGATTGAGCCAATTAACATAAACTTTCACGAAAAGGAAGTTTATATTCTCTCTGCATTTTGTTTAGAATAGTTCAAGAATGTAAAAGATGTGGTATCTCCTGCAGAACATGTCTACCGGCATCATCAAGTAAAATATAATGCATCTTTAGTTTAAAAACAGTCATATATATAACTTTACTTTAAAGTATTATATTAAATTTATTATTTAAGTCAATTAATAGCGAACAAACTAATTTCTTATTTACAACTATTTTTTATTAAAAATAGGGGATATTTATTAATAAATAATTTAAATTTTTAAATTTCCAAAAAGACCACTTAGGATGGGTAAAATTGCTGTGGAAATTGACTACTCTTCAAAAACCTCTTAAAGTAATACATTTTTATATACACATTTGACTAATATTTAAAGAAGCATTATAATATTAGCCAAGTAAAGTTACTTATATTTTGGCATTACTCATACGCACTGTGTTCCCCGCGTGAGAGTAATGAAAACTCTTCGCTTTTAGCAGCAACATACGGCATAGATTTAATCTGCAAAATCTTTATATTAAGCTTTTCTTAAACTTGCTTTATTCTTACAAAAAAATATAAGTAAATATATTAATATATATGTATTTATTGAG